ATTATTATTATTAATTATTTGGTTTTTCAAGACAGGGTTTCTCTGTAGGTTTTGGAGCCTGTCTCCGTAGACCAGGATGGCCTCGAATTCACAGAGATCTGCCTATCTCTGCCTCCCAAGTGCTGGGATTAAAGACATGAGCCACCACCACCCGGCTCATTCTTATTTTAAACTAAGATACATGTGCACCTGTTATAAGACCAGTGGGGGAGAGGGTTCTGGGGGTTGTGCAGTGAGATGTAGAGGTATGAATCAAGCCATGGGTGGTGCAACCCTGAGGCCAGGGGTTGGTTGTGGGTAGAGGTCAGCCTGCTCTCCAGGACAGCCAAGGCTATACAGAGAAGCCCTGTTTCAAAAAACACCAAAAAATAAAATTAATTAATTAAAAAAGAAACAAACAAAAAGCTGTGAATCGTGAACTCACCCTATTAAATTCTTTGCTCATAGAACTCTGCAACCATCACCAGTGTCTAATTCCAAAATAATCTTTCATACACAGAGACTGTATGCTTGAGCAATGGCTCTCCATCCACCCCAGCCCTGACCCCACAGCCCCAGTCTCCTTGGCTTTCTCTGTGGTGCAGCCTCTTCTGACATTCCATCCACACAGAACCCTAGGTCTGGCTGTTCTACTTGATAAAGTATCATCGATGCCCACCCTTTAGAATTTATTATGTGTATGATGTGTGTGTGGGCACAAGTGTGGAGGTCAGAGGACAATTTGTGCCAGTCAGTTCTCTCCTTCTACAAAGTGGTTCCCCAGGTCCTCAGACACAGCAACAAGCACCTTTACCCACTGAGCCAGCTTGCCCGCCCTGTTATGGTTTTATTTGTTTGTTTATTTTGTTTTTTGAGACAGGGTTTCTCTGTAGCTTTGGAGCCTGTCCTGGAACTCACTCTGTAAACCAGGCCGGCCTCGAACTCACAGAGATCTGCCTGTCTCTGCCTCCCGAGTGATGGGATTAAAGGCGTGCGCCACTACCGCCCAGCTCTTTGTTTGAAGGCAAGTTCTTGCTGTGTAGTTTTGGCTGTGTCCTGCCTCAGTGATGACAAGTGTGAGCCACCATGTCTCTGGAGCTGGAACTCAGGAGTCACATGTGCTAGGAAAGTACTCTCTACCTCTCAACTATGCACCTAAACCTTCTATCTACTTGTTTCTCTGATTGACTGTTTACTGATGGGGTTTCTCTGTGTAGCCCTGGCTGTCCTGGAACTCATTATGTAGACCAGGCTGGTCTCAAACTCACAGAGATCCACCTGCCTCTGCCTCCTGAGTTCTGGGACTAAAGGCGTGTGCCACCACTCCTGATTGTACATGTATGAGTGTTTTGCCTGTATGTATGTGTGTAGTGCCTACAGAGGCCAGGAGTCAGAGGCCCTGGAACGAGAGTTACAGATGTTTGTGAGCTGCCATGTGGTGCTAGTAATCAAAGCCAGGCTCCCTGGAAGATCAGCCATTACTCTTACCTGCTAAGCAATCTCTCTAGACACCCCCCACTGCAGACAAGGTTTCTCTGTGTAGTCCTTGAACTTGCTCTGTATACCACATTGGCTTTGAACTCAGAGATCCACTTGTTTCTGCCTTAATGCTGGAACTACAGTTTTGAGCCACCATCACCTGCCTCAGACCCTACCTTTTATTTTAAGACAGGATGTCTTTATTGCTCCAGCTGGTTTTGGACTCACTCTGTAACACACGGTGACTTTTACATTATGATTACATCCATTTGTATGTGCATGTGTGTAGGTGTGCGTGTGGAGTCAGAGGACAACTTGTAGTTCTCCCCTTCCACCACGTGACTCCAAGAATTGAACCCATGTCAGGCTTGGCAGCAAGTGCCTCTATCTCCTGAGACATATAGTCAGGCCGAGGCTGACCGTGAATTTGAAATCCTCCTGCCTCAGCCTCTGGAATAGCTCCAGTTCTAGCTCTGTTTGCATTTCTTGTCTGACATGGCTCAGGCCACAGCAGTGATCTGCTCGAAGGTCCTTCTCCCCTTGGGGTCACAGCTGCACAGGCTCACACACTCATTTGTCTTATTTGTCACTGCGCCCCAGAGCTGTCACAGGGCTTGGAACACACCAGCCACTCAGCAAATGGCTGCTGGGCCCAGAGAGGGGCAATGCTTGGTGCTGCAGCAGTGGCCAGAGGCTGAACCACTCCAAGATCTGAGGTTCTGTCTTTGCTCTGTCCCCTGGCTCTTTCCCAGGGTCCTACAGTGTGACACCTGACTATCTTCTCTTTCCTTCCCCAAACCCTAACACAAAGTCTCTCTGCAAATCCTTCAAAACTGACCTAAAACCTGACCAATCCTTTTGTTGGTGATCTTATGTGTGTGCCTGGACATATGAATGCATGTGTCCTTGCAGACAGACCAGAAGGTGCGAAATTCCCTGGAACAGGATATAGGCAGTTGTAACCCACCTGATGTGGGTACTAGGAACCAAACCCACCAGTTCTCTACAAGTGTTAACTGCTGAAATATCTCTCCAGCCCCCTGGGGTTGCTTTGTTTTGTTTTTCTTTTTGTTTTTTGAGCCACATCTTGCTGTGATCCTTGTCGTCACCATCCTGGTGTTGCAGCTTGGCAGATGCTAGGTTGGCAGGTGTACCACACCAGTGCTTTGCTCCGCCCACACCTCAGCAGTCCCTTTCTCACTCCTTTGGCCACTTCTTGAGCCTGGAGGCCTGTGACACCTTTGATGTGGTTCCCAGCTGCGACCCTAACTTCTCAAGTCTACTCTCACAGCAGCCAGAACAATAATTCAACAGTTCTGATTTTCTTCGTGAGACATGGTCATGCCTGAGCCAATCTCCTCCTGAACTCAGCAATGTCCTGCCAGAACATTCCCAGTGCTATGCACACCATGCCCTTCTTCGCTCAAAAGCATCATACAGCTCTCAGGCCAGCCACAGAAGGGCCACAGTGCTCAGCATCCCTCAGTCTCCCTGTCTCCTCAGTCCTTGCTCATGTCCTGTGCACCTGGTCTAAGCATGCTACAACCTCAAGACCTTTAACCACAGTATCTCCCTGCATGGACCTATTTCTTCAGAACACAGCACTTACTCCTCGCTCCTCATTCTGTTCGAGTCCATTCAAATGCCAGCCACTATCTGCACCTTTTCCGTCCCAACACTCCGTCTCTACAGCACCAGCCATTGGCAGACTACACTGTGTCCCTTCTCTGTACTTCCTATCCCTTCTGAATGTGGATTTTGTTTGTTTTGTCTTGTGGTGCTAGGGATGGAACCCAGGAGCTTGCTCCCACTAGGCAGGTGCTGGACCATCAAGCTATGCCCTCAGCCCTTCATGAGAGCTGGTGTGTAGGTGCTCTACTGCTGAGCCACAGTCCAAGACTGGAGTTCTACATAGCTGTGACCCCAGGACTCCAAATAGGGACATAAACACAGGAGCAATCAAAGACATTTGTCAAATAAAGGAGCAAACAAATCTCTGCAGGCCACAAGCTGTTAGGAATGGAGTTCAGACACACAAACTAAGTCCCAAAGGGTGCAGAGGGTTATGCTCTCAATAGTTATCAGAAATAAAGCACACCCATTTATATATAATTTATTGTTATTTCATATTATGTTCTGCCTGCATGTATGTCTGTGTGAGGCTGCCAGAGGCTCCGGAGTTAGACAGGCATGATCTGCCACGTGCAGACTGGTCCTCTGCAAGAGCAGTCAGTGCTCTTAACTGCTGAGCCTTCTCTTCAGCCCCAAGTACACCCATTTTTAGCAGGTATCCATGCCAAAATCTATAATCCTTCCTAACTCTACGTCTTTTCCCTGGGTCCGAAGCATCTCTCATTAAGGGAATCCACAGCTTCCCACTTGCTGGCACCTCCTGGGCTCACGATCCTCCCCTGAGCAGCGTGAAGGACTTCTTTAGATCCTGCTAATGCCGACAGCAACTACCAGAGCCTCGCCTAGGACCTCATCGTGTGGGCCTCGCTCTCCATCAGTCCAGACACCCCTTATGAAGAAGCCATTAGCAGCCTCTCCTGACAGATGAAGAAACTGACAGGTGAAGGCCCTTATTCAAGGTCACATGGTGATAGGAGTGAGCTTCAAACACAAAGCTAGGTCTGGCCTACTACATCCATGGACGGGGTGTCTGAAGGCTCCTGGCAGCTCCAGACACCAACATCTGCTCCCAGCAGCCAGCTCAGCCCATCATTACAACACTTCCTAGAAGGGATCATGGCACCCATATTGCTGTGATAAGCCAAAGAAGGCTCGAATCCAGGCCTGCCCTGTTCCTTGACCCCTTTCCTTCACAGGTTGCATACTTCCCCTACCCCCAAGAGCTTCCAGATGCCTTGCCTCCTCCTAGGGGTCTGCCTCTATCATGAACACCATTCCTTCCCAGGCCCTGTTGGTGTCTTGGGTTTCCCCAAGAGTCTACACCTACACTCCCTCTCTCCCGTGTAGCCTCTCAAATGCCTTCCATGTCTCTTAAGCAATCTTCCCATTAGAGTTTTTTCATACCTCCCCCTCTGCTGTCCCCATTGCCACCTCTGGTCCTCTGCCCCCTCCCCCATCATCTCTGTGCTCCCCACCTTATCATCCATAGGCCCTACGGTGTCACCCCCCACTTATCATATCTGGTTCCTCTGCAGTTCCCCCACTTCCATCACTGGTCCTTCTGTCCCCTCACCTTCCTCTCTGTCCCGCTGCCCCCCGCTCCGCAGTTCTATTTCTGACTCCTCTGGTATCTTCCACTTTATCATCTCTGGTCCCGAGGCTGTTCCCCAACTTCTAGCCCCTGGCCGTAAGTGGTCGCCGGCCTCCCCCCTCTTCAGCGACCCTGATTTTCTTCACATAGGCTCGGGATAGCACTGAATGACCTACCTAGCCCGTTGCTCTTTCCCCTCCACCTCCGCCCGCCACGTCCGCCTGCGCCGCCCCGGTTCTTCCCGCTAGGACACCCCCGCGCTTCCCCACTCCCTCCGCCCGGTACCCGCGTGACCCCCAGGCCCCGGTCGTGAGCTCACAGTTCCGGATGTCGGAGATGAACACGGCGAGCCCGCGCATGCCATCGCCCTTGGATACAGCCGGCATGATGGCGGAGAACTCGGCTCCAGGCCTGGCCGAACGGGCACGGGGCTGGCGGGCGGCACCGGGCGGAAAGGACCCCAGGCGGCGCCGAGGAGCCGGCAGGGGGCCGGCGGTATCCAAGGGCGATGGCATGCGCGGGCTCGCCGTGTTCAT